GACCCCGTGATATTTGTTGAGAATTAAAAAATATTTTACTCTTATATATTTACATTTTAATTGTTCAACGTACTCTATACATAATGATCAATATGTTTCTAACATATATGGAAAAAGACTGGTGACACTAATTGTGTTGGCTATATGTGAAATAATGGATGAAATATTTGTATCCGTTGAAGTTTCTGAATAACTGACAGTCCCCTTCTAGAAAAGCAAGTACCATAAACTGGGCTTTTTGACCGAGCACTTTTGTAAATTTTTTAAGGGAAAAAGAGTGTCTTTTTTTAAGTACATAAAGTTGTGCTCACCGTATGTAGCACCGAAATCGACACGAGACAAGCGATATAATACGACATTAAATTTTGACACGTTAATTTTAAAAAATATTAGATTTTGACATATTAAAACACGTTTTGATATTAAATAATATTTTTAATTTATGTAATTTATATTATATTTAATATTCAATAATTTAACTAAAAATAAAGCTAAACTTATAATACTCATCAATTTTGCAAAGAAACATAAGATATTCTAAATATTTATATTAAATTCAATAAAATGGTAATCGTAATCCAATGAATCTAATAGTTGGAATTAAAAACGCAACACAACGCACCCTTTGAACTTTTTTTGAGTCTCTACAACGAGTGTTGGAGTGTCGGATACCACACGTCAGGGTTTTTGAAGTGTCGGTGTTTCATAGGTGCCCACAATATATAGTTATAGTACAAAGAAGGAAAAAAAACCATCTCTCTCTTCAGTCACTTTTCAGTTGAAGTGGAGAAAAAAAATAATTTTTCATATTATAATCATGTACTCCCAGAAGTATATAATTATAATCACTAAAAGAACACACATTGTGTTCTTTTAAAGTACATACAACAAACCCATTTTTTAAAAGGAAAAACTACTCTCATATTGTTGGAGAATAATTCTCTTTTCTATAGACTCATCGATTTTCATGTTGCTCTTTTTTTTATAAGTGAATGAGCTCCATCACATGATTGTATCTATTGCGAGAAAGAAGATATCTCATGTAACATGAGATTAATAAAGCCTTTTTTAAAATTAGAGTAATTCCCCAAATTATTTTCTGAAATGGAACTCATATATATTTTTTTTCTATGTTAGCTACGGCACTATTTTAAGTATATGCTTGGATCCAGTTTGATGGCATTTATCTATCTTGTGTATTCATGTCATATGAATACTCAATCATCAACTACCAGTTCATGTTTGATAAGTCTATTGTTGCACTATTTTGGGGTGGTTAATTTAATGGGGATTGGAATCGGGAACTAAAAACAGAGTTCAGTGAAGCTGAAATTCTCAATGGGTATTCATTTGACACTAAAGTTTAAGGTAACTCTCATACTATTGGTTTAGCTTCTACAATAATTACAAGTTCTCCGATTGCATCATCTTTAGTTGTCAACGAACTCTCATTACAAATAAGTTTGTATCTGCATGATTTATTTGTTTTATAGTTATTTTAGTAATTGCCTCTCGTGCTTTTAAGACATGTATAGGTTCACCACATTTGTTAAAACTCCATTTTGGATTTCAACTTCAAATTATAAAAAGGGTTTGCATTTGTTATTTAACATGACACAACAAATTTTTCTACACACACAACTTTTTGTGAGACCCACACTTTTTGAAGAAGAAGAAAAAACTACACGAATCTCTATAGCATTACACAATCACTTTTCCTACAACATAACTCTTATAAAACCCAATTATAAATATATTAATTACGAACACTGATTAAGAGATTATTTTTTCAAAGTTGGATGTGCTTTCAATTGGTTCCTAGTGTGCAAGACTCGAGCTATAAGTCAGTTTACAATTTGATAGCAATTAAAAGGTTTGTTGTGTGTCACTTAACAAGACAGAATTGTGCCTTCAACAAGGAGCTAACAATGAAGCTGTTTTCCAATACTTTTTACAGGAAGTCACAGCTTTATTATAAGACCCTAAATTCTAAATCATAAACCTAAAAAATAATTTTTTATTTTATGAGTGGCAAAAAGAATTTCAAACAAGGAAAAGTTGGGAAACTACAGTAACGTGGTAAATAATTTGTAAATTGCTCTAAAGTAGTAAAAAAAAAACCATGAGTTGTAGAACTAGACTTGGCGTTTAAGACCTATCTCTTGCTGGATGCAATTTTCCTGGTGAGAGACAATGCGTACATGTTTGTCCCGCTATGACTATGAGCCCGAGTCTCAGAGTCACTTGTGTCACTGCCTCATTTCACTGGGTTTGGGTGTGGATAATAGCTTCCTGTACTTGTTTGAAAATACACACAATCTTCTGCTCTAACTTCATCTTGTACGAAGTATACTCGTTTGTAGTAATGGATCGTCTATATGTGATGTGAAAATTTTTAGTCAATTTTTTTTTTTTTTGATAGCCAATTTTAAGTCATTTATTGATATATCAGCAACCAATTTTAGTCATTTATTGATTAAAATGACAACAATTCCCTCTTTTAAGTTTGAAGAGCTTTATCATTGGAAATGTGACTATTAATCTGTAAATGAATATGAATGACTGAGATTTTTCATTATGATATTAAAAGAGACACTAGAGAATCTATTCTAATTATTCAGTTTCCACTCTCACCATTGAGAGCAAACTCACTATTATATGGCTTTCAAACAATTTATAAAATAAACAAATAAAAATATAAACTTTGACTACATAAATAATGTATCGAACTCACCAATAACAATCAAATCGAACTCATTGATCAAATTAAAGGAGTGCAATTAGAAGCTGACTCTTTATCTTTATATTCAATTGAATTTACGAGTCAAGTACAACTTTTTTTGAATTATAAAGTTTAACTTAGATATTTTTTATTTTATTTTTTGGTAAGAAGTTTAACTTAGATTCATTTGTTAATCTTGTATAAAATAGTAAACATAATAAAAATGTTTGTCAATTGTATAAAAGAAATTATCGGACCTAAAACAAAGAGAGTAAGATAAAGAGAGAGAATAGAAACACATGGCAAAACTTGTTCATTTGTTATTGGGAATCACATAATATAATTTCGCCTTGGTGTATGAACGAAATTAAACATTTTATTTCATTAAAGGCCCTAATTCCAAAATAAAATGTATGGGCTCCATTCGCCTCACAATATCTGTCTTTCGTCAATTACTCCCTTTACTCTTTATGTGTGTATATTTTTCTAAAGAAAAGGTTACGACCTTTAATCATAATGAATATTGCTTAAAAAGATTAGACACGATAAGAGGAAGATCAAAGGTGAAACGACAGCTTTATTAATGGTGAAAAATAGCTTAACTAGAATCTTAGGCAAGGCATGTGTTAAATTGTTTCTGGTTCTCGTATTAGTAAGAGAAAAAACATATAAAGAAGAAAAACTATGTTAAACTTCAGCACAAACACAATGATCTTGAAAAGGGATTTTGTCTTCAAAGCATAAGCTACTTTTATGAAATAGATGTGACTTTCTTGCCTGGAAAGTGCCTATGGGGAAAAGGCGAATATTTGAAAATGTTGTTAGAACATACTTTGCGGAGTTAAACACTATCTAAAGTACACTCAATCTCACTACACTATATATTTCATTTTCCTTGTTATTCTCCCCTGGAATAATCGTGCGGTCTACATGGGCTCCGCAAAAGGATGAGATTGACTATTTGTCACTCAAACTCGTTATCTTATTTTGAAGGCATATTCTCTTTGCTGCTTTTGTTCTGCAACTTATTGTGTTGTTCCTTATGGAGGCATGGTAAAGGTAACGGGCACGATTCTCTCTCATAGTTTATTACACGGACAAACCAAACATGTTTATTGGCTTCAAAAGTTTCAAGAAAAGTCTTTTATATATATATATATATATATATATATATATAGGGTCAGGATCATTTTACATCAGTGTAGGTTACACTCTTAATCTTGTCCGTTGATCTCATTTATATCTAAAGACTCTAATTTTTTAGTAATGTGAGCTATTGGATACAAGTGGATCAATGGTCAAGATTGAGTGTAAGATTTCTAACTCTTACACCGGTATAAGAATATCCTGCTCCATATATATATATATATATATATATATATATATATATATATATGAGCTACCCAGCCCACACTTAAAAGGCTTTCAAGCCCATGAACATCTTACCCTTAACAACTCTTAATGCCCAATAGACTTTTATTCTTAAAAAAGTTACTTTTTTTTTTAAATAAATTTGAGAATTTTTAGATGTTTAAATAACACCTTTTAAAAAAAGCAAAATTTAAAATAAAAGTTAAAATACTGTTTTTTTATAGCCATTAGTTGGTTGCATTTGAAAAAAACAGAAATTAAAAAATAATATAATTTTTTTTTGAAAAATAGATAATATAAAATTTTAAAATACAATTTTAACCTTATTCTATCATACCTATTTTATCTCTCCTTATCCTAGGATCATGCTATTTTATCTCTCCTTTATTATAATTTTATATATAAAAAGTATTTTTTTTTTATTTTAACATCCAAACAATTTGTTATGTAAAAGTGATTTTCAGATCATACATCCATACATAAAATAAATTATCTTTTAAAAAAAGTTATTTTAAAAAAAGCAATGCATGAAAAGTCATTTTTTTAAAAGTTCATCCAAACAGACCCTTATACAGGCTATTTGGAGTTAAGAGCCTGTTTCACTGTTTGGATCCTCTCTTTTTTAAGTTAAAAGTTATTTTTATTATAAAGGTAAAAAAAGAACTTAAAAAAAGTTAAGAGTTGTTAGTGATTACATAAATCCCATTTCAAGAAAAGCTGATAAGAGCTTAAAAAAAAACTACTCCTTGAAACTTTCGGCTTTTTTCTTTATTATAAAAAAAAAGCTCTTTTACTATAAGAGCTTTTATAAAAATCTATTTGGCTTAGCTTCTTCTTATAAGAAGAAGAGAAGAGAAGCTAAAATAAAAAATGATCTAAACAGGCACCAAGTGTGGTAGACCCACCCGTTTTACAGTAACAGCCTGTGAAGCCTATAAATTCAAATGAGCAAGACCCTGAAGACTTAGTAAAAGCCCATGCCACACCCGTTTGAACTGTTCAACCTAAAACAAAGGTAATGTAAATAGGAAATGGATCTTTGAGATATGAGTCATGTCAGACAATCTCAGTTGTCCATACGCATGTAAATATGATATGGGTATGGGAAAGGAAAGAGAAGCTAATGTGAAAATTGCTTCCATATCTTAAATTTTCCATTTAATTTTTAATTCACATTTACAAAATAGTGGATCATTAGACATGCCTACAAGGAGAGGAAGGAGGTTAGTGTCAGCCAAAATGATATTCAGTTTATGTTGTGGGGAAACCCATGGCCTGAAACTTACAGATCATAATAGATGTCTGACCTTTCATTTTTTGCATCTTCACATCATATAACACGTATCTGACCCCCATAACCATAGTGCTTGAGGAGCCCTTCATCTTGTCGCCAATTTTCTCTAACCTTAACTTCAATCTGTTCAAACACCAATGTTGAGTAAATATATTCCAACTCTAAATATTAAGTGTATGATGATTGTACCACATCACCACTTGAAGCTCAAGACTAATAAACGAAACAGCAAAATACGCAGGCCCAGGTTCAAATGAGTAGCATAGATACAGAATAATAAATTATGTAAATTGGCACCTCAAGATAAACTTTTTTCTGAAGAAAATCTTCAACGTCAAGGCGGGCAGCTGTTGCAAGCAGTTTCAAAGCCTTTCCTTCCTGAAGTAGTTGAGCACAACATACGTTTAAGTTACTGTTCGGTCTTTATTATGCACCAGATAAATGCTCATTTGAAGGTGGCAGGGGTATCTTTAGCAGTATTAGATTTTCTTTCCCAAATAGAAATATAATTCCAAAGAATTAAAGATAGAAAAAAAAATCAGGAAATTGAGATTACTTTAGGTTGCAGCTTGCAAGTCATGTTAAGGTACAACACCCAAACATTTATAAAAATTCTTTTCTGGAAATATGTTCTCAAATTCAGTGTTAAATAGAGTAAGCTCAAAACTAATGCCAAAAAGCCAGAATCACAGTAATACCACTGGCAGTATTGCAACTACTGCATCCTGTACAAATCAATTCCACAAGTTGACATTTGACAAATGATCAGCTGAATTTTGATATAAGTAACATACTCTTCCAATAAGAATAATCTTCTGTGTGTTTTTCTCAACCAAAATCTCCACTTGTATGAAATCTTTTGCATTGGGCCGAGCCTTATAGCTTACAACATTCACCTGGAAGAATTGGAAATAAGAAAATATTTGTAAATATTTCTACGAAAAGAAATTAGTTATTCCTTCAATTTCCTTTTTTTTTTTTTTTTTTTTCCTTTTAACACTTTTTCCTCTTCTCTATTGTTTTTTTCTTTTTCCTTTAGGGGTGGGAGGGGAAGGTGGGTATATCACAAATAAAAAATGAACTTACCTGACATGCATAGGGAATTTCATTTCGATACTGCATAAATATTTTTTCTCTAACAATTTCAGCTACAAAAAATCTTTCTGGATGCTCGCTGACAATGTCCTGTGAATTCAGGAACAACATTAAGGCAAGGACAGCACATGAAAGAAGAAATGACAAGGGATGCATTCAGGTTTTTATTATACCCACGGTGGTTAATACTTAATATTATACAGTGATAGCAGGGGGATCTGCACTACAGTATAACAGAGTTGCAAAACCCACATATCATAGCAATAGCAAATACTATTTGCAGTACTTGTCTACTATAGCTACACTGATTGTGGGGTACCTGCACACACTCTTGCACCATTGGAGCTATAAAGCATGGCATTATATAATGTATGTCATCATCCAAAAAGGATTTCCTTTTCCAGCTCTTACAGTACAGGGACTATTCCAGACATACAAAGTTACAGTCTCAATGCATGGGTAATTAGCCACACACTAATTGCCAGCAAGCACTAATAGCCTTCTCCACAATACGACTAATTGTGTCACTCACTACCAGTCTAGAATTGCATGCAACTCTATGCCTAGAGGCGGTTGACCATGTGGTATATTGAGATGATAATTACAATTGGATTACTCGATCAAAGGTGTTAGGGCTCTGGATTATTTAGAGATTGGAATTGGTATCATACTATTATAGAAGGGAGGAATGAAAGAAACAAATAGAAATGGAAGGAAAAATCTGTTTACTGATGATAAAATCAAATGAACATACAAGAGACACTTCTCTTGCCAAGGGGCACTCCCCTTCTCAAAATGAGCACTCTAGGCCAATATTCAGAAAAATACCCAGTCTATCTCATATAGAGGGCAACACCTCCTTTTAGACAAACAAAACCTTCCTCCTAACTAACTTTCGAATGACTAAGTATATTCTTTACGAAGGAATATTCTTTCCCTCCCAATGCAAACTGTATCCAAAGTTCACTAAAAAAATGACACAGAATGCATATGCAAGGGTGTTGTATAGCTTTTCCTTGATAGATGAATTCAAAAATGATAACATGACCTCTCGATAAGTAGGATCTATATACAAATTTGATCAGTCAAGGCTGAATGCCACTCTATTGTTCATATCACATCTTTATACAACGAGAAAAATCAACAAGTACCATTATAAATCAAGTAATCAACATGTGTATTTGTGACTGTTGTGTACATTTATGTGCAGCCTGGTTTGCTTTAATGAACTTCTACATAATCCCAAGGTTACTAGCCAGTTTTGACTTCAGTTTACTAGTAATTTAAACTCTATAATCAAATGAATTTACTCTTTACATAATTAGGTGTGTTATAGCAGAAGAATGGTTCTTTCAGTGTCTGATGGGCTCCTGTTTTTATCTCTAAACGGGACATGCAACAGTGATGATGCAACAATGGACATTTGAATGAGGGCAACAAAATTTTAACTGTTGATATACCTTTGGGTAATAGGCTGGTCCCTTGGGAAGCTTTGACAGTATCCAGTCCTTGACATCTTCAACCCCATGACCAAATTTGGCACTAACTGGTATAACCTCGTCAACATTGGTAAATTTCTCATACCACTGCAGGGAATTTGAAATAATTAGGACATAAAGTACTGGAAAAATATGCCATTACCAGTGAATTAACTTATACATGCTAATATAAATACTAATTAATGAGTTCCAACCTCAAGTTTCTTTGCAACTTCACCAGGTTTGATAAGATCCTTCTTGTTCAGAATCAGTAAAGTGGGGGGTTTATCTTTGAGGTCTCCTATGCCTTCTTCCAACACTTCATCGATCTAGAGATAGAGAGCAGTTTAGCAAAAGAGGAAAGAAAAAACTAAAACCGTTTTGTAAACCAAGAATCATACTTTTTCAGGTGCTTTACATGCATCAACGAGAACCAATACACAGTCAGCATTAACTGCAGCGCTGCGAACATTTTTCATCATCATTGAGTCTAACTTGTGCATTTCCTTCTGTAGAACACCAGGCGTGTCATAAAGTACCATCTGCAAGAGAATCACAGGTCAGAGAAATGAAGATAAAACATAAATACCAATGTCCATCCATTAGGAACAACAAATTTGTATTAATATACTCATGAAAAATAACTAATAAATTATAACAATTAAATAGACTCTTTTACCTTAAGCTCAATGGTTGAACTTATGAATTGGTAGAATGTTAAGAGAACTATTTATCAATTTGAGTTACCCCGCTTCATTTAATTACTGCAAAACATTTTCAAGTGAAATACCAATATCAGATCATTTAGCTCTAAAAAACCATTATAGTGGGTTCGTATTTAATTAATTCAAAGCTAGGATACTAGCCAAGAAAACTTGCATCACATATTGAATGTCCCTTTTCTAGTTCACGATATCATTAAAGATCGAAGTTCCAAGGACGAGATGCCAATTACATCATCGAAATTAAGATAACATTGAGCAGAATGTCATGAAGATCACATCGGTTCTAGAACAACATCAGTCTTCAATTGAAAAATATCCTTCAGAGTGTCTGAATTATCATGCATTTAAGAAATTTGGAATTGGCAATTGTTGTGGGAAGTAAAAGTAGGAAAAAAAGAAAAAAAACTCAGCATAACAATTTTTAATCTTGAAGGGTCATGCATGACAAGGAACCAACTATACAAGCTGATGAAACCAGACAGAAGAATTATCCACCACTAAGGATTAAACCTGATAATCTGAGCCAGAACATATACAGAGAATTCGATGCCTTGTTGTTTGAGGTTTATCCGTAACTATTGACAACTTTTGGCCAACCATTTGGTTTGCAAGTGTACTCTTCCCAACATTTGGCTTGCCAAGTAAAGCCACATATCCTGCATTACATTTCAACACATCAAAAAAAAAAAAATTTAAAAAAAAACAAACAAAACACCACCACAAAGCATTAAATATTAACATTAATTATAATTAATTAGAAGAAACAAGTTTGTTTAACAACACTAATCAGAACCAGAAAAAACAAAAATCTCAAGGCAACTGAGGAACCAAACCCTAAAACGAAACATAGAGGAGACTAACCGCTTCGGTGGTCGGGTCCGGAATCGAAATCGAGCTCCTCGGTCTCGTAATCGTCGAGCAAAGCCATGTTCCTGTCGGGCTTCACGCTGAGAGACAAGAACGACGCGTCGTCGTCCAAATACGAAGCTACTTCTTCATCTTCTTGTTCTTCTCCTTGTGCTTCTTCGCTGACCCAGAGCTGCTCTTGTTTGTTGGCGAATGCTTCGAAACGACGGTGCCTGCTTCTGCAGCAAAGCTGTGACGGCGATTCGGTTCGGTTCCGGTGGAAGGTAGTTCGGTTGGTGAAACCGGGAACGGGAAAGAGAGAATGCTGAAATAGGAATTGTTGTGTGTGAACCGTTGCATTTGAAGGTGCGTGCAAGGCTAGTTTCTCCATTAGCCTGTAACAATGCTCTGCTACACTACTCTTCTTCTCTCTTCTTTTATCCAAGTCACCAGATAATGATTAACTAAATGTTTAAAACGACGTCATTCTTTACATGTTTACTGTCTACTTATATGATAATACTTGGGGTACTCTCCTCCTCTTTCATTTTCTTCTTTTATCCAAGTTAGCCTATATAATACTAGGGGTATGTTTTGAATGTTTGAAAGGGAATGGAATGTAAAATTAAAAAATGAAAGAGAAGGAACGGAAGGAGAATAGGAAATTAACTAATAAGGGTGACGTATAAGGTATGATAGTATAAGTTTATACTATATATTATGTCATTTTCAGTTGTTTGGTGTGACCATCGTATAGTATAAGCTTATACAGCATAATCCCTTAATACATCAAAACGATGTATAACTTAATCTGGCCTAAAGGTGCTGGATAAGGCCTGATAAGAGATTGATGTATTAACATCGTTGACCAATGTAATTCTCAAAAATTAATATATTATTTTAATATTAATCTATTAAAATAAAAATTAATTTTTCAATATATTAGTTTTTAAAATATTGAATATTTTTATTTTTATAAAAATTAATTTATATTTTGGACACACTAATCAATAAATTTTTGTAAACATTAATATCATATGATATTTTTTGAAGAATTATATAAATTCTTTATTAAAAGATACTTTTATTAAAAATATTTATTTTTATCATATATAGTATTATACAGTACATTACCATAGGGGGCAATTTGGGTTGACCCGCCCCGCCCCGCCACCAACCCACCAAAAACGGGGCGGGGCGGGTTGACCCGCCAAAAAATATGGGTTAAAAAGATGAACCCACCCCGTTTTATGGTGGGTTGGCGGGTCAACCCGCCAATTAAAAAAAAATTATTTAAAATTCAAAAGTAAATTGTATTTTATGAATTTTTCTAATATTATTTTATTTTATTTCACATTTCTCTATATTTTTTTAGTCTCAATCTTAAATGTATACTAATATTTGTCAAACATTCTTTAGGAATTTATATATAGATAACATTTCTCATAAATAAATTTGTTATTCTTTATTTTTTCTAGGAAGTACTAAGATAAAAAAAATTATATATCACAAAAATTTAAGGATTAATGAAATACTATCAAATTGTAAAAAAAAAATATATATATATATATATTATAACCCGGCGGGTCAACCCGCCCCGCGGCGGGTTGAACCCGTTTTGACCCACTTCCAGGCGGGGCGGGTTGAGGTGGGTTGGTGGGTTGAAAACCTCAACCCAACCCGCCCCGTTTTGGCGGGTTGACCCGCCGGGCTCAACCCATATTGTCACCCCTACATTACCAAATACTAGAAGATATTATTTTATACAATATATTATTTTATACAATACCGTGCCAAATGCTGGATAGTATTAAAATTCAATCAGGTCTTATACAATCAAATCTTATACTATCAGGTCTTATACTATCAGGCCTTATCTTATACTATGCACCAAACATGCCCTGAGGTTTGGTTTTTTGTATGGTTATTTAAGATCCTCTAGAGTTCTTAATATTTAGTGTATTTTTTTGGAGGATACTGTAACAACCAATTAGTGTTACTATCAATCAATTTCATCGTTAGATCAATTATGTTGATTCAACGGTTATATTTATTTCCAACTTTGTATGGTTATGATTCCATGTATTTAATATTTTATATTTATTTTCCCCATTGTATAATTATGATTCCTCATATTTAATGTTTTAACTATACAAAGAAGCAAATAAATATAATCGTTGGATCAACATAATCAATCTAACGGTAAAATTAATTAGTAGTAACATTAATTGATTGTTATAATATCCTACCCTTTCTTATTCTATTATTTATTTTTTAATGCAATTCTTGGTTTGAAATACTACTTGGTAAAGGTAGCTTTGTAAATTGAAACCTGTCTTTTTGGTAGGGTTCATCTAATCTCATGTTACATGAGAGATGATATCTTATGTTATAGAGACACATGTGGTGGGCCCACTATCTACAAAAAAAATAAAAAGAATGTCATGGTTTTTGATTGGCCTATAGGAGATAAACTACTCTTATATTGCGTAAGAGTAGTTTTTTCTTTTTTGGTAATGGCCAAATTGTTTTCATTTTTATTTACTACTTGAGTTTTTTATTTTTTGGTAAATAAAAGGTCTAAGCCCAAAAAAGAAAAAAAAAAAACACCAAAAATAAAAGACTAAATCCTACACAGGACTGTCCTAGTCCTACAGACAGCGGTTTCACTTTTATTTACTACTTGAGTTTTTTAATTTCCTTCATCACCGTTTACTTCTACTCTATTTTGATTTTAAAAAGAAGAAAATGAAAATACTGAAACAAACGTCAACAGAAATTAAAAAAAAGGAAAAAAAAATATTTTTTAAAAAAAGAATAAAGAAAAAAAAGGAAGAGAAAGACTTAAAAAAAAAAAAAAAAGAATTACAATTTAGACAAGTCTCTCATATATTTGTTACATTAAATATTAACTATTTTGTGTACGTATTCAGACTTTCAAACATCACAGATCAATTGTAAAATAAAAATAAAAATAAAACTTAAAGAAATTCGTCTTCTTTTTCATTTCAAACAATTTTGAGACAATTCCTCTTTATTTTTATTAATGGTTTTCTTTATTTTGATTAATGATTTGTATTGCAATCACTTCAATGATATTTCATATTTGTTCGTTTTGACGTGACAAGCAACCTAAGTCTCATATTTGGAAAAAAAAAAAAAAAAATCGATACTCAAATCAGTAGTTAATGTGTATAAAATTATGTAAATAATCTTATTAATGCACATATTTTCAAAAACATATCTTTGCACTTAATAACTATCTAATTCATGTATTGCCAAAATGAAATGTCTGTCAATAGGATTATACTTTATTCATGAGTAAAACTGAATTGCCATTAACTTAGATGACCATATTTCTAAAGCATAAACGCACAAAAAAATAAAACTCATTAAATTAATGAAAAATTGAAGAAAAAAAATTCTCAAATTCCTTTCCCAAACTGATGTATAGGCAGCCTCAAGGGTAACTGCAAAATCAAAAAAATTAAACCAATAGGCAGTAGAAATATTACAATCAGCAATGGTTTATTTCAAGCGCCAATGAAAGAAAACCTCATCCATCCTTGACAAACAGAGTCATACTTCTGGTGTTAACGAATTACTACTCTACGTTTGTTCACCAGGGAACACAACCAACTGAAACACCTCACAGAAACACCAGACTAGAAAACCAGAATTCTACTAGGTCATGCATGTATCATCGCTTGACCAGATTTCCTTTATTTCGGTTCAGCAACACCAAGTATAAAATTTCTTCTGCTGTGTTAGAATGCTTAAAAAAGCAAGCATAAAGAATTCATTATGAATGTGCTCTGCCAAATGTATCAGATGGCGAAACACACTTGCCCTGCTCGCAAGAATCCATAGGAAACAATGGGATATATTATCTCACCAACACGGACTGAGCCATTTCACTAATCTACCATCTAGACTTTCGGTGAAAGGCACAAGTTATTATATTGAAAGGCCAAAAATTGTGCACATACTCAGGATGCCGGAAAATTGTAATTGATCAAGTAAGAGATATGTTAGCCACGTAGTATCATGTATAACTTTTATTCTCCTCTCCTACCATAACTCAGGTATTGAAGTTAGTGTTCATGGAATATTAGTTGGCTGCATCATCATGTTCCGGAACCACATCATGGTCGGCAGATGTCGATCCTTTACCCATAGGGAGATAAGACCATGCTATTGCTGCAGTACCAAGTACAATGGCGGTAGAAATAGAGCCCCAAATCCATCTCTGCCTCCTACTCCTTCTTTGTCTCTCACGCCGTGCCATCTCTAAACAAGAAAGTAAATAACATAAATGAGATGGACAAATGAAGCAAGTCAAACATACTAGGACAAACATTTTAGCTGAATAACATCAGAAAAGCATACATTTCCCCAGCTTCCATGCAAATAAGACACTATGCTTCTGTCTTCTCATGAAAACAGATACTTGGGGAAAAAGTCATAGGCAACAGCTCATCAGATTATATACCCATTAGGAAAATTCTACCATCCTTGGACAATTGATCCACTCAAATAAAAGGTTCAAATGGTGATCAGGTATAACTTAACATTGATAGGCATGAAAGGTAAAGCCCAAATCTAGCAGGTAAATGACCACTCCTCCAAAAATTGTGCTATTTCACGCACCTAATACACAGAAGTTATAAAGCAATTGCACAAAGTACATAGGAAAATAAAGTACAATTTAAAGCTCCAAAGAAACTTCAAAAGTATAAAGCACTTGCATAAAGAGTCCAAGCAAATACTTTCAGTGAATACCTAGAAAATAATACATGCCATACAATATTAGTGCCATGACCAAGTACAAATCCAGTAAAATTAAACAATAAAGTTTATGGACGGAAGATGTACGGTAGTCATTTGGTCTATTATTGCAATAACACTACATATAAGCATAAAGTCATGAGCCGAAAATATATTGCCATAACTAATTAATTTATCTTCATTTCATAATGACAATGGATTTTTCAGTCTTCCCTTTCCTTCCAATAATTCTCTCTTTTGGGGTGGTTGGGGGTGTAACCCATAGTGGATTTTAAGCCATCAATCAGAATAGCATCTTAAGTGTTGTTGTTTACATAGTCAAACACATGGTCCCACCCATGGACATACAATTCTGATACTCTATCAATGAAACTACCATTCCACATTCACCGCCAATGACCATAAAGCAGAAACTCAGAGCTACCTGGTGTTTTCTCAACTCTCTCCTGAACCAGTAAGCTTGTGTCATTTCAAATGGAAAGTGGGAGATATGTGTTATGAGGAAAAACAAAATGACAAATCAAAGCAATACTAGCTAGTAGCTAAGTAGATATATTTATAACACATTAAAAACAACATAGACATAATCAGTTAGAGGTAGAAGAAGAATAAATGTGCTCACTTGATCAATACAATTTAAGTGAAAAAATATGACATAAATCTCACCTACAGCCTCCTGGTTCCTCTGAGACATCTCTCTATTCATGGTCTCATAACAGTGGAGACGTTCCAACAGTCGAGCAATCTCAAAGTTCTTTGACTCTAATTGAGCCTCCATCTCTATCTCCATCTCAGCCTTGGCAGTTCCTCTCCCAATGGTGTTCGATACGAACCTAGCAATGTAAGCTTGCTGACATAGATCTTCCACAGGATCAGAACTCAGCTGCCCATCCTCAGCAACAGCAGTAAGATTTGCAGGCAAAACAATTCCCACAAGAGATAAACCTTGTCTAATTCTCTCCCATTGGCTTTGCATGCTGTTAAGGGATTCTTCAACTTGTTTCCTCTTCTCTATCTCCATCAATAGACTCAACCTTATTTCACGCAATTCAGCTTCAACATCATGTGGAGAGTTTTGAGTCCCACCTTCAGAGGAGAGTTCTACAGGAAGAAAAGAGCCAAGTAAGATAATCAATGAAACAAAATATTTCCAAGACATCTACTGACCCTCTCTTCATCCCCTGTATGATCAGTGTATACAAAATATGCTTTAAAAGCAATGAATCAATGGAAAAATAACGATACTCCTTTTATCTCTGCACCAACACCCATAAATAACGACATTAAGAAAAGGTTAGAAAAATGATAAACAAAAGGCAAAATGGTCCTACGCACCACACCTAAATTACAAACTCTATTGGAGAACATATCCCTATGGCTGTCCACATGCACACCGCTCAGTTGCAAAAAAAATAATTGGCAGTAAACCTAGCTCAATTTACCTTCCCAAGCATCAAAAAACTCTGCGCCAGGAGTGCTCAATTTCACAGTGCGTTCTGTGCCTGTATTATCCTCTCCATCTGTGTAACTTGTTACACTCATCGAATCCTGTGGATCAAAAAAGCCTTCACTCTGGCCATCTCTTTCTGAATTCAATGCCACTACCTTCTCCATGTGTAAACCATTAGTAATGCCACTACTTCCACTTTCCATGTCTCCATACCCGAGGTCACCATTATTGCTGCCACTGAGTTTGGCATCATGTACACCATTCACCTGCACCTCCTCAACAGTTCCATGGTTCGTGAAAGTGACTTGGAGGTCACCAGCTGAACTGGCAACCACAGTGTCAGCGCTCTTACCATTGACATTTTCATCATCATGAACCTCCTGCTTGGCCTGCACATTGGCCTCAGAGAAACTCTTGAGGAGACGCGGGCCACGGCGTTTGTGATTGATAATGTAGGGAGAAGGAGGGAATGAAGAGGGTGAATCCGGAAGCGGCGTCACCTCAGGAGTAGCATAGAGTGCTGGCCTTAATTGAGGACGAGGAGGGGCCTTCTTTTTTGCAGCTGGTTCACTGCTTCTCCTCTCGAGCTTCTTCGAGTTCGGGACAGGCATTGAGGCCGGAGCAGATTTATGAACAGGTTTGGAAGCTCCTGGCTCTATCAACCTATCCAATGCTATAGCAGTAAAGGTCGGCATGACTGTACAAAATCATATGAAAATGACACATAAATGTTAAAACTTGAACAATTACGAATACCTTCCCCTACCCTAATTGAATTCAATTTTTCAATTATGTATACCACTAACGCAACGACAACAGTTAACCCATTATTGAATCTAATCTAATCACATAGAAATAAACATTTTTTTCTTCTTTGAGGAGAAAGATAGAGAGGAGAGGCAAAAGTAGGATTATTCATTACTTTCCACCCCAAAACAGCACCATATGTAAAGAAATGTAAATTCAGGTGACGAAATGCGAAATCCCTAACCTAAAATAATGACCTCTCTCCTTCCCTTAAGAATATTTGCACAATTCTAACCTAACACCTGTTGAAACGAAACCAAAATAGTTCGCAGAATATATAAAAACAAAAGTCTAGCAACGAATCCAAAATGTAACATATAGCCGAAACCTAAAACAATTAAATTCGAAATCCAAATCCAAACCTTAGAAAAAAAAAAAAAAGCGAAGAAATTGGCTTGATAATTTATTTATTTTTAAATTTTAACCCGAAATCAACAATCAGAAATGAAAATTCAGGAGAAAAATCAGAAAAGGGCTAGAAAAGAAAAAAAGAGAGAGAATAAACAAACCTAGCGTAAGGAAGAAGATGAAGAGAGAGAGAGAAGTGAAGAGAGACTAGAAGGAGGCAGCGTCTAGAATCAGAGGCGTGGGAAGCTGCATAGTTTTTGGTTGTATGCTAAATAGTTAATGTTGTTGTTGTTGGATATCGACACAGTTCCCATACCTGTGGAATCAATTTCGACCTTCAACACAGCCCACCTCTTCCCTTCTCTTCTATACTCTTTAATCTTTTTCACTTTTTATTATTATTATTTATTTTCCGAAATTTGGTGGCACTGGCAACCTCTTCCGCAATCCTTTGGGGTCAATTTTCTATTCTTATTATTATTTATTTATTTAGAGTTGCTTGTTCTTGTGATGATAGCTCATAGCCCCGTGGGCGTGCCACGACCACGCTTTTCTCGTGACGTGCGCCAGTTGGAATTAAATATAACACTCAACGACCTAGGATTAGTGACTTTCAATGAACATGAATATCGAACAGGTGCAATGCAAACCTTTGAATTGGTTTATGGCTCTAACCACAACAAAAATAATAATAATAAGCAGAGGGGACAAACAACAATGATAGGTGAGAATTGAGAGGAGGTGGCACCGTAGCACGAGCTCTTTCGTTAAACTTTATGAGAAGTTCTTCGTTTGATATTAATATATGAGGTAGGATATTTTCACCTCGGTGTTAAATTTAAAGTTTGACATTTCATCTGAGAGTCGTTAGATCAAAAAAGATCAATGGTATCATATGTTTACAAATCAGAGTCGTTGATTTTTTTGATCTAACGACTCTCAGAAGTGTCAAACTTCAATTTTGACACCGTTGTCAAAAGATCTTACCTCTTAATATATTATTATTATTATTCAATTGATCCAGTAACACATTACACGTCTTCTTTTACAATTTGAATATTATTATCAGTAGGTCAACAAAGGTGGCAAAAAAATTAAAATATTACTAATTTAATAAATAATTACGAATACATAACAGTTTTGAAATTATCTACGAATTTATAATAGTCATTCACGTCCAAATTAAGCGTGAGGCATTCACGCCTAAATTAGCGTGAATCATCTGGTGTTGACACGTGGCAAAAAAAGTGAACTTACGAACCGTAAAACTTTGGAAAGCCATAACTTTTGACTCGGGTATCCGAATGAGATAATTATTTTTTGATTCCACATAAGTTTTCGAGATCTACGCAGTGACATCTCATTTGATATATTTTATCTCTCACAAACACAATTCAAATTTACAATAATTGTATTATATAGTGTATTACAAAAAAATTTAAAAAATTATTATTAATAAGAAAAATAAAATAAATATTAAATTTGTGATTTAAACTCAAAAATTAATTTGAAAAATCGGTATTAATAAAGAAAGTAATTAAATAAATATTCTAAACACTTGGTAGGATATTATATAAATTTGTATACATTTTAATAATTAAATAAATAACCTTGTACACTATTTTTTTTTCAAACACTTGGTAGAAGTATATATTTTAATATGACATTAAGTATACTTATTTATAGATGAGTTAATTTACTTTGGTGCCATCTTTATAGTATCATTGTTGTAAATTTGAATTGTGTTTGTGAGAGATAAAATATATCAAATGAGATGTCATTGCGTGGATCTCGAAAAGTTATGTGGAATCAAAAAAAAAAATTACTTCATTCGGATTCCTGAGTCAAAAGTTATGACCTTATAAAGTTTTACGGTTAAATTTTTAATTTTTTGTGACACGTGTCAACACCAGACTAGTCACGCCTAATTTAGGCGTGAATTCCTTGGGAGTCACGCCTGATTTGGGCGTGAATAGTCACGCCCAATTTGGGCGTGAATAACTACAATAGATTCGTAGATAATTTTAAAACTTATATTTTCGTAATTATTTATTAAAATAGTACTATTTTAAATTTTTTGCCCAACAAAGTTGTGTTCGAACTTTAGTCATGCGAAATATTTGAATACACAGAGTTGACTTGTTTCTTCTTACTTTTTTCTTTCTTGAATAATATTCAACTACTCACACAATGAAATCATATAAGTATATAACTACTACTAACCTGATTTCATGAATTACGTATTCACATGGTTAGGCTTTTTAACTGATATATTATAAAAATAAAAATAAAAATTATCACATTTCAACAAAGTAAAAATATATTATCAATGGTGTTGTGAAGTGGCATAATTATGATTGTTCATTTCAAATCTTTCACCTATTTTTTCCTAATTAGTATCATAAATAATAATTGTATCTAATAGCTAACATCCTAAATAACACTAGTATTATTATTTTAGAATTATATTAAATTCATTAAGTTAAATAATAATTAGTACCAACAAATAATTTTTATAAGTTTTACACGATATTTTGAAATTTTTACAAATTCAAAATTTCAAATTTATTGTCAATAATAATAGTTTAATGATTGGAATTTTCCCCCTTTTTCTTTTCGCTTAATATGACTTAAGTTAGGTAAGTGATATCCTCTATATTCCATATTTGTTTAAATATTACAGCTGAATATTCCTAAATCATTATGATTCTTATGTTATGATTCTGATTTATTTAATCTTTTTGTGATTAATCAATATGCAATATTATTGTTTTCTTTTCAAAAAATAAAGTATGAGAAATGAGTAAAAATTTAAAATATTAAAATTTTGGTCTCTTGAAATCCTTAGAATTTATCAAATATTTGAATTTTTTAAGCTAATCGCAAAAGAAAGAAAAAAAAATCTTCAAATTATCATTATTGATAATAAATTTAGGATAAAGTATTTCTTCAATCACGAAGATAAGTTATCTTCAGTGACTCATAAAAATACGTCATTTTAATTAATGAAAAATATTTTTGTAACTTTAGGAGAATTAATGACGGATATTTTAGTAAAATTCATATGATAAATAAATAAATAAAATTAAGAAAATACCCTTCATTAATTCAAAATAATGTAGTTTTTGCTGATACTGGAGATAATTTATCTCCAATAACTGAAGAAATATTTTACTCATAAAGTTATCACTTTTAATATTGACAAAGATAAATGAAAATTGTTTATGGTGTTAATTATTATCTGACTCAATAAATTTAATATTAATTTCAAAACAACAATGTTTAAGTTATTTATAATATTGACTATTATATATTAATTATGAAAATATATTTATCATTTTAAATTACAATACACTATATCATTTTAAGTTTCACTTCACAAAATTCTTTTTTTTTTTTCCTTAGTTCTTCTCCTCTCCCTTTTTTTTTTCTCTCAATTGGGTCTCACCTTACTTCACCCAAGAGTCAGAATTCTCTTTCTCCAATTCAGAAACCTTCCAAAATCCTAACAAATATGGACCATAGAAAAATTATCACCATAGAAAAAAAGATTAACGAAAAATCCCGGAGAGGCAAACACAACTATGGATGTAAATGGACTAGACCGGCTATAGAGACTTACTGCCTAGAGTAAGGGACAACGATGGGAGTGTGAACACCCAATTTTGTCCCAAATATTTAAAAAGAACAAAATATACAAAAACATAAAAAAGAAAAGAACAGAAAAAAATTTAAGTTATGAACACATATTTTTGTCCTTCAATAAGGAAAAAACGAAGAGAGCAATCAAAAAGATGGAAAAGGGAAGGAGGGCCATTTCAGAAAAAAAATAACAGCTTTGAGTAGGACTTGCTCCAGCCACGATATATCCTTCATCCACCGTCCGATCGAGCTGAAATTTTTTTGGCAAGATCTTAACTCATCATCCTTCATATCGACCAATGGATTTCTTGATTGGATGTTTATATCATTCCCAGAAAATTAAAATCCGCAACAATTTTTCTGGACATTTCTGCAGCGAGCAGCGATTTTGTGAGTGTCATTTCTCCCGAATGAACTGTTGGATGTCCTCAAATTTTGTGAGCGTGTTCCCCTCATGTAATACTACACTCTGACCGGACGGATTTTCGAACTGAGCCTCCTAGCATCAGTTAAAATTTCTAAAGATGGGTTGTTAGTTTTGTTAGAACAAATGCAATTTCGGGCAGCCATGTTGCAAGGATCATTTCTCTCAAACGGACCGTCCGGGGTGCAGTGGAATTAAGTTTCCACCCTTCCTTGCGCATAATTAGACTCTTGAACCTTTGATCTATAATTTTATAGACCGGTTTGCAGTAAATGGTTTTCCAATTTTTCAAAGTAAATAAAATTGGTGGCGACTCCATAGTTTTAATTTTTTTAATTTCGGGTCGTTACAGATGGCGACTCCACTGGGGATTTTAGAGAGTCAAGCCTGTTTTAATTAATTTTGTGAATTCATAGTAGCTTTTATATATTTGCTTTACTTCCTTTTAGTTTGCTATTTTGCTTCATTTTTTTTCTTGTTATTATGCATTTTCTTTCTTTTTGTTTCTTATGTTTTGATATATGTGTGAAAGATGTGACGATTGGCTCCAACTTTAAAATGGGAGACTTTTGTGTTATTATATGATTGCTCTCAATTGTTTTGCTGATTGGGTTACACACAACACCTACACATTGATCACACACTATGAGTGAGGCCCTATTCCCGGGTCTGAGTGAAACTTAAGATATGAGAGAGGTTGTGTAGTGGTAGTCATTTTTTATGTACATCATGTTTGGTTATCGCGAAAACCTCGGCTAGAGTGTGACTCTTTCGTAATTATCGTCATTTTGGTTATTTTTTTTCGAAATAAGATATTAACTCTAGTGGCCAAAATACTTAGAGTCATTCATCCACCAAATGAAAGTATTCACTGTATAGAATGACCTATTGACCATTCAATATTAATCAATTCAAGACAAAAAAGGGTCATATTCTTTCCTAACACCTTATTTTCATTCTTGCACATGGCATATTGATGTATATATCCATATTTTACAAAATCAACATTATTGAAACATTTATCTTTCATCTATTCGTACATTTTGTGAAACAAAACATGCTAGGCATTGCATTACCTTCATATTTCCAAAAAAAAAAAAAAAACACAAAAAAGAAAGAATGATAATAATATTCTTTGGCAAATTCAGTTTGGTCATGGAAAGACTATACCAATCAAATCTAAGTTCACAACATCAAATCTAGGATCATAATGGAGGCAAACAATCAATAGGGGAGAGACATGTTCAAAGAAGTAGAAGAAATAAGAGAGAGATTGAATAAGATGGAAGAAATATTGAAAGGCATAAAAGAGTTCCTCAATTTGCTAATGATCCAACCTATTGGGGAAGAGAATGCTAACAATGAGGCACA